AGAACTACAAACAGGATAAAACCCATAAAGGTCTACACCGAGATACAACATAATCAGACTCTCAAAAAGTCAAGATAAAGAGAGAATCCTGAAAGTGAGAGAGAAGCAGTCATTTACAAAGTATCTCCAATAAGAAAAGTGCTGATTTCTCCTTAGAAACATTGGAGGCCAGAAGGCAATAGAATGGCTCACTTCAAATGCAGCAAGAAGAGGTGTCAACCAAGAATACTATACACATTGAATCATCCTTCAAGAATGAACTTGACCTACACCTGTGGATGCAGTAGTTCAAAAGAGGGAACAAATCTTTACAGTGAGGATCATTCCCACCTATCGATACACAGAGTAGACAGGGACAGGCAACTTGGACATTGGCTACCCAAAATGGGAGGCTACAAAGGCAAGAAGTGACTGGCTTACAAGTTTCAAGAGGGAGCTTAGATCCAGAGGGCGTGGAGGAAGGTAGAATCTCCACTGAGTAGTGTCCAATCTGTCTAGGTGGGGCTGATGAAAGGAGATGGGGATAGGACTCCTGTGGAACAATAGTGAATAATTACTATCAGGACTGATTATGAGGGTTGGAAATGTAAAGGTAGACATTTTGTAGCAAGGAAGGGAGTGATTGACTTTGCAGTCCAGGAGTGGAGATCCCTGGGACCATCAAGGGAGAAAAGCGGAGAGCGGGACCCTACCCAGAGAAGCAGTGACACCAGAGATGGACGCAGAGACGATGACGTGGAGAGATGGATTGGCTGGGAACTTTAGACCCAGAGAGGGAGAAGGACTGTGTGCTGATGATCAGGGTGAAAGCTTGCAGCCTTTGGTTGGTGATGATGCATGGAGGGGATTGTAACCATGGCAATGAAACGATGATAGGATGACTGTAAAGCTATGTTCTCCCATGTGAACTATCATATAATTCACAGTAAAACAAAACAAAAAAAATGGAGGTGAAGCTGAAACGTTAAAAAACAAAAATGAAATTAAAGTTAACATTTGAATTGCAGATTACTATGTGAACATAAGGAGCTCTGGTTGTGCAGTGGTTAAGCACTTGGATGATAACTGGAAAGTTAACAGTTCAAGCCCACCAGCTGCTCCACAGGAGAAAGATGTGGCAGTCAGTTTCTATTAAAAAGACCAGCTTGAAAATCCCGTGGGGCAGTTCTACTCTGTCACATAGGGTTGTTAAGAGTCGGAGTTGATAGCATACAACACCATGTCAGCATGTGCTCATAAATTATATTCAGTAATACACCCTTACCTTAGCGTAGGATCCATACATTTATACAGTAATACAATGATACACCCGTACCTTAACGTAGGATCCATACATTTATACAGTAATACAATGATACACCCGTACCTTAGCGTAGGATCCATACATTTATACAGTAATACAATGATACACCCGTACCTTAGCATAGGATCCACACATTTAGACAGTAATACAATGATACACGTACCTTAGGGTAGGATCCACACATTTATACAGCAATACAATGATACACCCGTACCTTAGCGTAGGATCCACACATTTATACAGTAATACAATGATACACCCGTACCCTAGGGTAGGATCCACACATTTATACAGTAATACAATGATACACCTGTACCCTAGCGTAGGACCCACACATTTATACAGTAATACAATGATACACCCGTACCCTAGGGTAGGATCCACACATTTATACAGTAATACAATGATATACCCGTACCTTAGGGTAGGATCCACACATTTATACAGTAATACAGTGATACACCCGTACCTTAGGGTAGGATCCATACATTTATTAGCTCCGGTGCATCAGAATTGTATTGGTTGCCTTTTTGAATAAGAATTCACTTCCCAGGACTAAATGCACCATGGCAACCTTCTCACTTAGACTCTTTATTTTTTAAACATATTTTTAATTTTTTTTCTGGAAAATGATTGGCTGTCAAGAACTATTTTAATGAAACCACGTGATGAACACTTACGGGGAGTCAGGGCTTAAATGCGCACACAGCCCCCTGCAAAGTGACAGACTTCCTAACCCATATGCTCACTTGTTCTGAGTTTCCATCCGCCTTCCCCATAGGGGGCAATATGCATCAGTGGTGAAAAAGCTTCTGTTCTGCCTCCAGGACGTGGAGGCTGGATAGACGTCAGCTCACAACAACTACCCTTACTGACTGCCTCCACATATGGCCTTTAGCCACACAGTCCAGACCTCTGACCCCCAAGTCACCCCAAGTTACTTCCTTCCACAACCACATAAGTAAAACAGGGCTGCCTTGTAGAAAATCCTGAGGACCAACACTGTGGCTTGAGCTTTTGATTTGGAGCCTCTACAGTTTCCCCCAAACCTTGATGTGGCCTCCTGCCCCACTCCTAGTGCAGCTGGTAAGCACAGGCATTTCAGCCAGGCTGCCTGGGGTAGATTATACCCTGCCGTATACTTCTTGAAAAATCGTGCCTCTCTTCCCACGTGGGTAAAACAGATATTCAGTAAAGTCCACGTTGTTCCTATTCATGCCAGCTAGGATAAAGCCCCGCAAGGTCGGCGGTTCAAACTTACCAGCCGCTCCTCAGAAACCTTATACAGAGTCACTATGATTCAGAACCTCTTCAACAGCACTTAAGGACAACAGTGTATTAATTGGAGTCCTGGTATGGCTCTGTAGAGTAACCACTGGACTGCTGAACACAAGGTCGGAAGTTCAAACCCACCAGCCACTCCTTGGAAGCCCTTTACAGGGTTGCTGTGAGTCGGAACCAACTGGATGGTACTTAACAACAACATTACTGACTAAATTTTATTAATTATTCAAATAGAACAATGGATACTGCATGGTTTAAAATCAGAAAAGGGTTGTAACCTGTCACCATATTTAGTTAATCTGTATGCCCAGCAAATAACCCGAGGAGATGGACTATATGAAGAAGAACATGGCATCAGGATTGGAGGAGGTAGATGCATTTGAATTGTGGTGTTGGCAAAGAACATTGGAAGTACCAGGGACTGCCAGGAGCACAAGCAAACCTGTGTTGGAAGAAATACAGCCTGAATGCTCCAGAGAAGCCAGGATGGGGTGACTTGTTTGTCTCTCGTGCTTGGGACGTGTTATCAGGAGGGCCCAGTTCTTGGAGAAGGACATCTTGCTTGGTGAAGTGGAGGGTCAGGGAAGAGAAAGACCCTTTAATGTGATGGACTGCCACAGTGGTCTCGAACACGGCAGTGATGGTGGGGAGGCTGCAGGACCGGGCAGTGTTTTGTCCTGTTGTGTAGAAGACCCATTATGAGTTGGAGCTAACTCAGTGGCACCTAACAACATGTTCTTATCATTCATTACATAGTATACATATGAATGATATATTTAAAATACTCAATGAGTAATGATGTTGTGCCTTGCTTACTATGTTAACGTTGTCGTCGTGTGCTGTACAGGTGACTGTGACTCACGGCAACCCCAGGTAACAGAGGAGAACTGTACCCATGTGGTTTTCTTGACTGTCACCTTTATGGATGCAGCGCTGGGGGCACCAGGTTGGTGGTTGGTACCCAGCTTGCTGCCCGCTGCCATAAAAACTGTTGCTGTTTTTGTGAAGTGCCTTCAAGTCCATTCTGACTTATCGCGACCCTGTCTAGGGTTTCTGAGGCGCGATTGGTGGGTTTGAGTCACCTACCCTATAGTTAACAGTCCAATGCTTATCCCACAGCACCATAAAAACGGCCGTTTAGAACATCCATTGGGGCAGTTCTGCTCTGCCGTGTGCAGTCACTGTGGGTTGGAACTCACTTAATGCTCACAACCATCTTTAAGAAGCAGATCCCCAGGTCTCTGTGCCTTAGAATTGGTGGGTGGGTTTTGAACTGCCAACTTAGCAGCTAAGTGCTTAGCTGTTTGCATTACTAGGGCTCCTTATTATATGATAGTTGTTGAGTGTCATCGAGTTGGTTCTGACTTACAGAGACCCTGTATGTTTTTCTGAGGAGTGTAAGGGCTGTAAGGCTTTCTGAGGAGTGTAAGGGCTGTAAGGCTTTCTGAGGAGTGGCTAGTTCGTTTGAACTGCTGACATTGCGGCTAACACCAGGACGCATACTACATGAGTTATTACTGTTAAGTGCTGTCGAGTCGGTTCCAACACATAGCAACCCTGCATAGGGTTTCCAAGGAGCAGCTGGTGGATTTGAACTGCTGACCTTGTGGTTCCCAGTCCAGTGCTGATCCTACAGCGCTACATCAGAAGTCTACTACATGAGTACTGTTGTTGTCAGGTGCCATTGAGTCGGAACCGACTCATAGCGACCCCATGCACAGCAGAACGAAACAATGTCCGATCCTGGGCCAACCTCACTACCGCTGCCACACTTGAGTCCATCAATGATGCCACCTGGCTGATCCATCTCGTTGGGGGTCTTCGTCTTTTTCTCTGCCCCTCTACCTTACCTAGCATGACATCCTTCTCCAGCAACTGTTCCCTCCTGACAATATGTCCAAAGTATGAGAGACAATGCTTAGCCATCCTGGCCTCTAAGGAGCACTCTGGCTGCACTTCTTCTAAAACAGATCTATTGGTTCTTTTGGCAGTCCATGGCACTTTTAGTATTCTCCTCCAACACCACAACCCAAAGGCATCAATTCTTCTACGATCTTCCTTATTCACTGTCCAGCTTTTGCATCCATATGAGGTTATTGGAAACACCATGGCCTGGGTCAGGCGCACCTTAGTCCTCAAGCTGACATCTCTGCTCTTCACAGGAGTACTACTGCTATAATATGATTCCTACCACCAACCCTCCAAGAAAGCAAGAACCAGAGTCCTGTTCTGACAAGAAATAAAAAAGGGGCTCAACTTCTGAGCTGGGTGGGGTGCAGTCAGAGGCAGAGGGATTCTGGGAAGAAGGAGACACATAAAGCTTCAGAGGTTGGCCCGTCTGATAACGGGACCTGAGGTTTCAAAAACCAGCTGTGCGCGTGCCCGGGTAATGCTCTGCTTTGTGACCCCACAGCCCTGAACGAAGAGGTCAGCCATTTTGAAAAGCGGAAGATCTTCATCTTGCTGTCCACAGTGATGACCTGGGCACGCTCCAAGCCCCTGGACCCTGTAAGTTGTGCCTTGTTCACCCTAATACCTTGAAATCTTGATGTGGAAAGAATGTTATATAGCAACTGTTGTATTCTTACACTCCCATCATAAGCACTCAACAGAGTTCACTGAGTCTTGTGTAGTGCCGTCGAGTCGGTTCTGACGCATAGCAACCCTGTACAGGGTTTCTGAGGAGCGACTGATGAGTTTGAACTGCTGACCTTGCGGTCGAGCGTTTATCCTCCTGGCCACACCAGGACTAGCAAGTGCCATCTAGTCTCTGGGGTTCTGTTATTTTATAGACCACCAAGAAAGGGACAATGGCTGCTACTAAACTTTAACAATGCTTTCTTATTACTGTGTTGTTGTTGTTGTTAAGTAGCCACCTTGTATAGGTTATAGGATAGTTGTTAAGTGTCAGCGAGTTGGTATAGAGTTTCTGAGGCTGTAAATCATTGATGGAGCAGATGGTGGGCTCGAACCTCTGACCTTGTGTTTCACAAGCCAGTGCTTATCATACAGAACCACCACACTCCCTTCTTACTACTTTGATTTTTTATTTTATCTGTACTGAAAGCACTCTCAGAATTTTTCAAACCTATATTTTTATAATATGCATTCTTGTGCATACATTAAAAGGGGACTCGAAGAAAATGCGTAGGCTATGGTGTCCCCCGAATCTTTTCATAAGCAGAGTCCAGCTTCTCTGACTTGTATCTACGTTCTTTTTCTGCACAATACCTCCATCTACAGCCCCTGTCCGTCAAGACATTGGTTTGTAGGTGATTTCCTATGAAGCTCATGGTTGAGATTTTTAAGAAAATAAGACTGTATATTCCAATGTTGCTAATTTCCTTTACTAACATCGAATTGACCTTCATATTTACTGCCTGATTCCCATGCCTCTGAGCATGGGCAATACCTTATCCCACCACACCCTAAGCATTTGTGATATTTGCAAAGCTTTCCGCCTTATTCATATCTAATCCTTAGTCCTATGGAAATAATTTCCATACAGACTAACCATTTGCATAAAGTCACCCGTGTGTCAGAATAGAACTGTGTTTCCTATGGTTCTCCGTTTTAAAAAAAATAATTTATTTTGTTTTTGCTGTTGGGAAAATACACAGCAGAACATGCACCAGTTCAACCGTTTGGACATGTGTGGTGCTGCAGATAATGTGCTGGGCCCCAAGGTCGGTGGTTCAAACCCACCAGTCGCTCCTTGGAAACCCTATACAGGGTCACTATGAGTTGGAGTGGACTCAATGGCACTTAACGACAACAACAACTATTTAGCGACATTGCTTACTTTCTTGGAGTTGTGCCACCTTCCTCCCCCACTTTTCTGAGTACCTTCTCCCCTCACTTACATCACCTACTGCCCCCAAGTTTCCCAATGGAACTTTTGAGTTGCTCTTGTCAATTTGACCCATCGGGATGGCCCTAAAAGAGCACAGTGTGCAAGGCAGACACTTCATACTAGTTACGCCAAACTATCGTTTTGTTTTAAGGAGACCTCAGGAGATATTTTTAGCTTGAGGTTTAAAGATGATCTCTGGGCAGTAGTTTCAGGGGCCCCTTTAGCCTCCGTGCCTCCAGAAAACCTGGAGGCCATGAGCATTTAAAATTCTCTTCACATTTTCCACCTTTGGGTGGGATTCTTCTACAGCATCGTCAAGCACCATCCAATTCTTACGGCTAAGGGGACAGTTCCCCAAACACATTCCATCTCCTCTTCCCACTCCTGACTCTCCTTCCTCTGTTGTTCCCGGGGAATAGACCCAACTGTTGGGCCTTGGATGGCTACTTGCAAGCTTTTAAGACCCCAGACGCTACAGAAGAAGCTAGGAGGAAGACCGAAAGCATTAAGCACATTATTATACCAATTAAACAGGGTGTCCCATGAAACCATGACCCTAAAGCTCCCAACCAAGGAACCAAACCCTGTGAGGTATTTGGTTGCACACACAGCCTCAGTATTGCCATTGTTGTAAATAAATCTATCCAACAATTTTTGCCAAGGGAACTCTTACAGGTGTGTGACTTCTTGACAGGAATAACTTGAATTAGCTGTACAATCCTACCTTCAATGACATGAATTAGCTGTACAGTCCTACCTTCAATGACATGAATTAGCTGTACAATCCTGCCTTCAATGACATGAATTAGCTGTACAATCCCGCCTTCAATGACATGAATTAGCTGTACAATCCCGCCTTCAATGACATGAATTAGCTGTACAATCCCACCTTCAATGACATGAATTCGCTGTACAGTCCTTCCTTCAATGCAGTTTTGCCGTGGTTGTAAACCGAGCCCCACGTCCCCTTCCTGTAACCACTAAGCAACTGTGATCTCTTTACATCTGCCTGTTCTTGTCCTTTCCTATGATGACGTCATTTAATTTTGATCCTTTTTGTGATTGGCTTGTGTCACTCAACATGAAGTCTTCAAGCTCCATTCATAATGTAGCATGTTTCAAGATTACAGTTCTCTTCATGGCTGCATTATCTGGAATGCCTCCTTACTTAAGTGCTAAATCACAGTGTGATCTTTTAAAAGGCATCTTAAATAGCAAATCACTGAAGACACACAGCATCCCCAATGAGCACAATTCAATCTGAAGCGATGACAAGATGCGCAGTTGTGTTCAGGGTCACTCACACGGCAACAATGACAACTGTAATCATCATAAAGACACTGATGATGGTGCCAGACAGGAGCCGAGCTCTCGGCCTGCCTCAGGTGTGAGGTCAACAAGCCTCTGAGACAGCCTTTCTTGGTTAGGTGAAAACCATCAGCTTTATTGAAATCTCGAGAGAACAAAGAGACAGGGGATCTCTGACACTAACTGTCTCTCTGAGGGGAGTTAGCTGTGTTTTTATAGGACTTCCTGAAGACTCTCAGTGATGAACGAGGACAGATCATCATTTATCAGGGCTTAGGGAACCCGTCACAATGCAAAGAAGTGGGCACAAATCACAATGTTGAGAGGGTACATGTTACGGTTTCTTGTATGCTGTTTCTCCAACCTCTGGGGGCCGGCCCATTGATTCTCTGAGCCCCGGTGGGTTGTGGTTTTAATAGCTGGGACTGGCGCCAGGGTGCTCCAACCTGTCCCTGTTCTGCTCTCTGTCAAGGAACTCACCTTACACAAAGAGACGTCTTACAAATGTGGGACTAGGATCGTAGCTTCCCACCAGGTTCCTGCTTTGTG